AGACTGACTGTCTGCTGTTCGAAGGTTGTTTGACGCATTGTGAAAAAATTTAACCATTGTTCGAATCTACCGACCGCATTTATGTAACGGTCATTAATCAAATTAAAATTTGTCGACTATATCGAAAGCTGCCAACCGGTGCATTATAATTGTGAGGAAATTCGAAGAAACAGTTTGTCTTCCGAAATAAATCAGACAATCTAACCTAATTGATATAACCTCACGACTGACCTACCCTAATATAAATGTGATGAAATCTATTTCAAATTAAATCAACGTCGACCTCATTAAATCTTGATTTAACTTTAATTTAAAACTATATTAATATTTAAAGCGACATAAAATTACATCGAGTTAGTAAGATTACATCTAAAATAATTTTCTGAAATCTGATTTTACCTGCACGCAATTTGAACGGATTATACTTAACGTAACTTAACCTCGAACTAATTCGATTCTGAGCTACCTTTTAACCGACAAACCAAATCTACACTAAACGCTAATTTAATACAGATGTGACCAGTCATTAATTTTGGTTACATCAAACTAACCTTGTCACAATATTAATTAGTTTCTAGACTAAAAAAATCCCTAGATTCACATGTTTATAGGCTCCGATATTAGATACTAAAATAATAAATTTTACAATATCTCTAAAATCATAATTTTCTAGAAACTGATATCCTTAGATTTGGATACTCTTGGGAAAAATCCCTAGACTCCCCAGTTTCTAAGGTCCAATCTCTAGGCTACAGTATTCCTAGATTTCCATTTCTACACACCAATATTCCTAGATCATCAAATTTCTAGAATCTCTACTCCCTAGATGGCAATATACCTAGATACCCAAATAACTATTATCCCAAATTATTAGATTTTAAAATATTTGTTCACTGCCTCAAAATTTCTAGATCTTTAAATTTTTAATACGACTAAAAATTATTAAGGCTCTAAAAAATCTGCCAAAACAGTGAGATGTTTTGCTTTTTAATTACCATATTTTCTCTGGGGAAGGTAGATTTGCTCTCGACTGCGCATATGTAGATACACTTTCTCTACGTACACGTAATCCGATTCAGTTACAGTTTGCAGAGGACAAATCTACTGGAAAGCAGGTGCGACTATTTATTTGGCGGCTAGGCGAGTCACACACGGCCCTGAACGTAACGTCGACGGAGAACAAACAAGCACCCATGCGTGGGCATACGGATCGCGTAGGTGTCCCTCTTCGACTACCTCGCTTTGCCCCAAGGGCATTACTCGTGCATCACGGAACGCGTGTCGATATCGTTCACGATTTCGTGCTTTTACTTGTCTCGAGGTGTCAAACTACTTCGCGAGACTGACATTTAATTTCGAACTCCCGTGCGCGCGCAGCGAGATGAGCTCGAGAGAGAGACGAACCTACTTTTCCTGTTTTTTGAACCGAGCGGAGTGAATGACTGATGTAAACAATTGTTCGCTACTGCCGAAAGTATGTATACGGAATATGCTCTTTTATTTAGCGAATCGCGGTCTTCTTTTGGTATTTTATTAAGACGTAATATTTTGATATATTGTACAATGAATATGTTTGAATATATTGATATTTGTTAGTTGTTTAATACGGTGAATTGTTTAGAGGTTATTAGAGCGATTGTCATTATAGAGACATTTTAATCAGAGGCACGAAATAATAATGATTAGTGCCGCCATTTTCCTGCATCATACCGCGAAATTTAATTTGATTTTAACTAAATGACACAACATACAAACTACACTTTAATAATGATATATTAATAAAGTTTATAAATGAATTATAAATATTAATAAATTTTATAGAGGAATTTTGAACGTGAATAACAATATACTATTTGTCAATGAAGTACTCAATATATTTTGACAAATGAAACATACTCATATATGACAGCGGATCAAACAAATATTATTTATAAATAATAAACATGTAAATATTAAATAACTAAAAAAATTTTTAAATAATAAAATGGGAATATGTTGTTATTTACACACTTTATTTTTAATATTAATTATTAATTCTATAATCGTCATTCAAACATGATCATAGATATTAAAAACGAACGACTAGTTCATTACAGAAATGGAAAAAAGATAGAATATAATTGTGCGTTAAGTTTCGTATCTTCTTAAACGAGAGTAAAAGTGAAAATAAACGGAAAAAATATATAGACTGTACCCGGTCAGAAGTATTTCCGGTGCTTAATGAGTTAAGAACTCGCTCAATGAGTTAATGGGTAGTTGCTTCAAATTTTACACACGATCACTGAGCACCGCTTATAATAATATATTAAACGCATGGTGCACACTGCTAAAAAATATTTATTTTAATTTAGTTATCATACGCGTTAGCATTAAAATAAAGTAATAAATATATTTTGTAAACGTAATCTCTGCCAGATACGTTATCATGATTTTTATACAAATTGAATAAATTAATTAAAATTATTTTTACTGATTCACCTAAAATCAAAATTTCTAGTAAGTTCCAAAAGCCCCTAAGCCCGAAATTCCCTATGCACTAATATCCTTAGATAAAAAATCCATGTGTCTCCAAATTCTCTATATTCTCAAATTATAGATTAAAAATTCCCTAAATCTCAATATCTCTATATTTCACTAGTTTCACATTCAAAAAATCACTAGAAAATTTCTGTGTCATAAGTTTATGACATCTTAATATCCCTATGATTAAATAACTCAAAACTTCAAAAATCCCTAGATTCTCTCTAGAACCAGAAATTTCGCGGATTCTCAATCGCGTCTCAAAATTCCCTATATCTTTCTAAAATTCACAAATTTCATAAATTGTCGGGCGAGTCTAAAAATTCCCTGGATTTCTCTAGCATTGACAAAATCCTAGATTTCGCTCGAACTAAAAAATTCCCTAGATTTCTGAAGGGGTTTAAAATTCCCTAGATTTCCCCTGCACTCACAAATTCTCTAGATTCTCGAACGTGTTTAAGAATTCCCTAGATTCCTCAGAACTCGCAAATTCCCTAGATTCTCGAACGTGTCTAAAAATTCCCTAAATTTCTCTAGAATCCATAAATTTCCTAGGCTCCGAAACCCATTAACCTCCAAATTCAATAATTCCCTATATCACTAGATTCGAAAATCCACAAACTCTGAATCTCAAAATCCCTATGCAAATTCCCTAGATTCCAAGACCGTTAAATCTCAAAATTCCCAAATTCCCTATATCCCTAGATTCGAAAATATCTATGCTTCCAAATACCTTATATCTCAATTTCCCCACATTCGAATTCACTAATTCTCAATATTCCTATATCCGAATATTTCTAGACCAACAAACTCCCTATTAAAAAAATTCTACAGATCCAATTCCTTGCAAATTCCCTAAATCCCAACATTACCAGATCCCGAAATCCCTAGATCGCATTAGTCGTCAATTTTCTAGATTTCATTATTCTATAATCTGTATATTCGTAAATTTCTGTATTCCTATAATCCCAGTTATCGTTAGAAAATATTGAAAATATCGAACACGTAGCTATGATTTGATTGATAGTTTCAATGTTAATTACGAGTTCTTGTGCATCGCGTTACGTACGCTGTTCAAATATGCAGAAACAAATTCAAAGTATTTAATTACGACAGCCGCAGAAGAAAGATATATCACGATCGGTCACGTACATACTGGTTAAGCGTATGAAACGTGATTGCAAATGATAGCTGAAAATATTTCTAACGACATAATGACTGTTTGCGTGGACGGAGATGCCCGACTAACCGGAGCTTTAGTTCGAGCGTAAAAAGAAAAATTCCGAGAAGAAAATAATGGCGTGTATGTCAGCTTACAGGAATCTTCGTTTGCCTTCGTTCTCTCGGTGCGAGGATGTGTCACGGCCTAGGAATGTCTCGAATTTCCAAGTTTGGGAACACTCCTGTCTTGTAATTCGTGCCATGGCTTTGGTCACGCACGTGTATACGCAATATCACGCTGTCCGCGCCCCTCGCTGTTATTTCGTTCGAATAAAAACCGATACACGAAGTGAATTTAATCGTAAAAATAAAAAATCAATGGACACTCGCTTCACTGTACAACCAACAGAACACACGACTTTTGTATAATTTTATAAAATCGAATTTTCACTTACGAATGTCAATAAAATAATGATTAACAGTGTTAATGTTAATGCAGGACATATTTTTGAAAGAATGTTCATCTTCAAATTTTTTCAACTAGTCAATTGCCGGGAACGTGCTCGATCAGACGTAACAACACGTGCCTGTAAAAGCTGACGGCAAATTAACATTTTTTTCAACTCGTAACATTGCATAATATGATGCAGGAACGAATGTCGGTTCTTTTTTTCACGAGCATTCATGTTAGCCTTCGAATCGAGAAAGAAACTCGTAGCCAACGTTATAGTAATGTTGAACTACGCGAAACAAGCGTATAACGTGCAAAAAAGAGCTTCATAATGCAAATACAATTAGATAAACTATCCGATAGAGCAGTTTTTATGTGGAATATGCTGTAAATATGCTGAATTAGAAAATATACTATGACACTTATATTTTATTAAGTATAATACGAATGATAAATTTTTTATTTTATTAATAAAACAGTTTATAAGATATTATATAATTCTGTTTTCATTATTTTATTTTTAAATTGTTATTAAATAACGTCTGTCTGTAATAAGTATGTAAAAATATTTTTTGAAATAAATATTTTATACAGTAAAATAATTTACTACATAAAAAGTAGCTAAATGAAAATAATTAGTGAATTCATATATCCACCATGAGGCACAGAAAATGTATCATTATGGCCGATAAATGATTGAGCTACAGTGTAATTTTATTGAGTATACATTCGAGCACAGTACTTTACAAGTTGAACACAGTATCATGGAAAATATTTATTCCTTACCATCTACAAGAGATTAAAACTATTTTTTCTTGTAAATTATGCAACGATGGATCAAACAAGAATTGTAATTTCAATCGAAAGGCATGCGAGCAGGAAACAGGAAAAGGCGCGCGTATGCGCGCGCACACGCATGCGCGGTAGCGAAAGAATTTTCCTAAACACAGATGTCGAGCAGATGCCACACGTTGCAATATGTGCTACCATGGGAAAATACGTACGTGGCCGAAGAGAACGCGTGTTCCCAAAAAGAAATAACGTCGACGAGCTTAGGTGATTCGAGGAACGAAATTTTGAGATTTCGAGGAACGAAAATCGGCACACGGAACAAGTATATACGGCTGTTGTTCGTGTGCCAAATGTGCAAACAAAAACAAAAGCGAACGCAAGTCGAGTAATCTGCGCTCGAATCGCAGGGCGATAACTCGAACGAGAAATGCAAAAATCTATAGTGCGATCGATATCTAAGGTGTGTTCAAATGTCTATGGTATTTATCCTCTACTATCAATATACTAACTTTTGTGTGCTGTGAATTATACTATTTTGTCACGTATTATTTATATCCTATCTTTTTAATTTTAGATGTTTTCCTTTTTATTCAGGGCTTCATTCGATTAATATGTAAGCGTACATATGTATATATTAACCGTGTTCTTCATAAAATATGGCTACCATGATTTAGGTTAAAATTAACACATATGTTATTCTAATTCGAAAGTTGTTTTTAATGACATATGAATAAAACTAGCGATTACTTATATAATCAGTCATCTAATCACACTGCAATATAGTTCACTATTTAATTTACAATTTGCAAGATTGTAAATTTCATGCATTAAAAATAAAATATCTACAATACAATTCATAAAAGGTATGTATCAGTTATAATGCAAGGGGATTGCAAAAATTAATTAAAAATTTAAAGATCAATGATGTCTTTTGTAATGAGTGATCAATGAAAGTATTAAAAAATATTTAATTTTGTTACAGGAATTTAGAATGAATAGTATTGAACTGACTAAAGTGATGTGTCGTTTTTGTCAGCATTCATTCAATTTATGTGTCAACACATTCTTTTCCTTCAACAAATGCATGTATAGCTTACATTTTAAAGTATCTTATTAAGAAGAAGCATTGCCAAGTGTAACGAAGTTATTCATCTGTTATAAATGATTAAGAATGAAAGATACAAAAGTTAAATTTGGCAATATATTATATAATTTTCATAAAGAACGTTGTTTAAACTCGAAAAAGACACGTATAGTATACAGAGAGGCTACAGTAAATGACTGCAAGTGACAGTTTCGGTTTGGGATATTTTGTGTTGAAAATATTTTCATGAATAGTATTCTAGAAGAGCAAGCATAGCTACATATGTTCAGTGATTAAATGAAAATCTTGATCAATAACAACTTTCCTTATAGATTGAAAAAATAAATAATACGTTGATTTTAATTACATATGTTAGATTTGTAATGGAATATCTGCTTAAAAAACGACAAAACTTTTTGGCCAGTCGAATAGTTTTATTTTCGCGTTCGGCCGTGGTCACCAGATTTCTCGAGTTTTTCATCGACAGCGCGGCGGCCCTGGCGACTGGAATGCGGGCGCGGCGAGTCCTCGATATATGAATATACGCATACACGTAGTAGATACACACGTTCGACGAGAAGCTTAAGGGGCGCTCACACGAATGCGACGTAACGTCAGAAATATTTTACATTCCCGTCTGTACACATATCGTACGCTTAATCGTAAAAATGCACGCGTTAATTCGAGACAAAACAAAGTAAACTAAATAAAGATTCATACATGAAAATTTTATGCATTCCAGAAGCGTACGTGTGTATGTCCTTAGGCTCTAAGCACGTGTACACGTGCATACGAAGGCATATACATAGGAAAATGGCGTACCTGTCTCTAGGATCGATCCACGTTGTTTTTCTTGTGTTGTGATCGATGAAATACACTTTTCCATCAAAGTCTCGCGCGACGTCCCACCCTTCCGGAAGCGGTATCTCCCCATTCCGTCTCCTTGGCATATTTCACTGCGCTCTAAATCCATCCAAAACTCTCTATCACCGACCAGTCGACAGGCACATATTTGTGCGCGCGAGCACACACTCTTCGTGCCACATACACGCTGTATCGATACAAGAAAGAAAAGAAAGATAGTAGACGTAAGAGAGACAAAGAGGAATGTATTATATCGGAGTTGGTAAAGAGAAGGCACGCGATAGTAATACACACTGATATATCGTGGAATGGAGATAGAAAGGATGTGTTACATGCTACGGAACACACACGCGCACACGCATACATACCGTGTGCGTGTCGACAGAGAAAGAGATAGAAAGAGAGAGAGAGAGCGCACGTGCATACGGTTACACGCATACACGTGTAGTGTACCAAGTGTACAGCGGGGAGCAAATCTGACTTCTCTAAAGGAAAATCGGGGAAAACACGATGTGCTTTGAAGATGGGGTTTGAACGAATGAAGTCAATTCCACAATTTACTAAACCTTACATTTGGAAATTTAACCACGTTGATTTTAATTACATATGTTAGATTTGTAATGGAATATCTGCTTAAAAAACGACAAAACTTTTTGGCCAGTCGAATAGTTTTATTTTCGCGTTCGGCCGTGGTCACCAGATTTCTCGAGTTTTTCATCGACAGCGCGGCGGCCCTGGCGACTGGAATGCGGGCGCGGCGAGTCCTCGATATATGAATATACGCATACACGTAGTAGATACACACGTTCGACGAGAAGCTTAAGGGGCGCTCACACGAATGCGACGTAACGTCAGAAATATTTTACATTCCCGTCTGTACACATATCGTACGCTTAATCGTAAAAATGCACGCGTTAATTCGAGACAAAACAAAGTAAACTAAATAAAGATTCATACATGAAAATTTTATGCATTCCAGAAGCGTACGTGTGTATGTCCTTAGGCTCTAAGCACGTGTACACGTGCATACGAAGGCATATACATAGGAAAATGGCGTACCTGTCTCTAGGATCGATCCACGTTGTTTTTCTTGTGTTGTGATCGATGAAATACACTTTTCCATCAAAGTCTCGCGCGACGTCCCACCCTTCCGGAAGCGGTATCTCCCCATTCCGTCTCCTTGGCATATTTCACTGCGCTCTAAATCCATCCAAAACTCTCTATCACCGACCAGTCGACAGGCACATATTTGTGCGCGCGAGCACACACTCTTCGTGCCACATACACGCTGTATCGATACAAGAAAGAAAAGAAAGATAGTAGACGTAAGAGAGACAAAGAGGAATGTATTATATCGGAGTTGGTAAAGAGAAGGCACGCGATAGTAATACACACTGATATATCGTGGAATGGAGATAGAAAGGATGTGTTACATGCTACGGAACACACACGCGCACACGCATACATACCGTGTGCGTGTCGACAGAGAAAGAGATAGAAAGAGAGAGAGAGAGCGCACGTGCATACGGTTACACGCATACACGTGTAGTGTACCAAGTGTACAGCGGGGAGCAAATCTGACTTCTCTAAAGGAAAATCGGGGAAAACACGATGTGCTTTGAAGATGGGGTTTGAACGAATGAAGTCAATTCCACAATTTACTAAACCTTACATTTGGAAATTTAACCATTTGTCCATTTGAAAATTTTTGACTTTGGAGGTTTGGAAATTTGAGAATATCGAAACTTGGAAATTTAAGAATTTGAAAATTTAGAATTTAAGAAATTTGGAAATTTAAGATTTCTGAATATAGGAATTTTAAGATTTTATAATTTACAAAGGGAATGTATAAATTTAGAGTTTAAGAATTTGAGAATTTGGATATTTAGAACACTGAAAATGTAGGAATTTAAAATTTAAGAATTTGAGATTCTGGAACAGTGATAATTAAGAAATTTAAGAATTTCCAAGTTTTGAATGCAGCTTAGGTAATTTTTTAATTTGAAATCTGTAGAATTTGGAAATTTCAAAGTTTGGTTTTAAAAATTTAGTACATCAGGAATTTTGAGAGTTGAAAATTTGAGTATTTAGAAATGTAGTAATTTAAAACTTTGGAAACTTAAGCATTAGCGAATTTAGGAATTTAGGAATCTAGAAATTTGGGAGTTTTAAAACTTGAAAATTTAAGAACCAGGGATTTGAGATTTAAGATTCAGAAATCTTGAAATTCTTGCCAAAATTGAAGTGGGATACAATTCCCCCTACAATCGTTCCGATTTAAAGGAAACCTACGTTGCACCCGGGTGTACATACCCGAGTGTACACATACACGAGCGCTCTCTCTCTTCCTCGCGCGCTACTCCGCCATCATGAATACCTCATTATCATGAGCGGAGTGACGTCAGAGTCCCCGCCTTCAGATTCCTCTCGAGCGGAATTCCACCGTTAACATAGCTGGCCGTCGAAGAAAAGTCCACTGTTGGTATCTTGCCTTGAGACAGTACCGTGGTCCTACATTTGCACGAGACCGTATACAGATATTTCTTACATTATCATAACCCTTTCTCCTCTTTTCTTAATCCCGCACTGCTCACTTTCTGATTAAAATCAAAAATACCACAGCCTTCAAAATTTTCACACCACAGAAAAAACTTGAATTTGATTATTAAAACCACTTTCACCCCTTCTCTGTCGTCTCACTTATGCTCCACTTCCATTTACACTCTAAACCTCTAATTTAACGAGGCTTCGATTTTCCATCGGCGTACAGCGATATTATGTCTCTACACCTTTCTTCGATTTCTACTGTTCTTGCACGAAAGCAGGTTCACTCGTAGAATACTTACGGCACTGTGCCGGCAAATAAACAGGCCAACACTAGCGAGCTCGTCTTACGCGAACAGCTCGCTTTCATTGACAGATTTTCGAGAATAAAATTGATAGACCGTGCCGAACAGTCACGTCGTGCTCCTTTTCGTGCCACAGGAACAACGACGAGTTTCTCAGAGCAGAGACGGGACAGCATCTGCGACCCGCTTTAAGAAACGCACGCTAATGCCGGTGGCTGTCGAGTACATTTCACCGTGCTCCCTTTTCCTTCTCGCACTAAACTTTACGTTCCTTCGAGCAATGTCAGAATTCCTGTTGCGTTCACCCGCACGCTATTTCACTCCGGTTTTTACTCGACACCCCGTTTCACCGCGAGACACTTTTGCTCGAATCGTACAATTGTGCACGGTGTCAAGTCCGTTGTTTCAAGTGCCAAGAATACGCACAAACTACTCTTTCGTACAACCTCGCGCCACTACAAGCATGTCGAGTGTTTGAAACATGCCACTGGACGTTCGTACCGTGTGCGCTTGGCAATGTCTCTCGCTCGCTCTCTCTTGCTCGTCGCCTTAACGCCGTACACCGATGAGAACCGAACGTAACCCCCTCCCCGAACTCGTATGTTCCCCCCTCTCTCGTTCTCTCTCTTTCTATCCAGTTACCCCCACCACCGACCGAAAGCTCTCGTGTCTCTGACCGCTGTGCACGAACGGCGACGGGAACAGACGAACGCGATGCCCTTTCGATAGCTTCGCATATTTTCCGTTAGGTTGCAGCGGCGGCACCACCGTACAACTTCTAAACGCAGGTGCACCCGAGACCGTTGAACATCCGGGACGAATGAGTAAACTGATGGTAATCCGTCGGCGCCCCTTCAAGAATGTCTCATAAGCTTCTGTGGTATTCGCGCCTATTGCTTCCTCTTTCTTTTCTTCGCTGTTATTTTGGTTTACGCGCGACTTAAAAATCTCGTCGAAATTGGACGGGTTAATTTGGTCTTCCTGTCTGAATAATTTATTGTTACAGCTTCTTGTTTTCTTAGGGATTCAATTTTTGCTCTTAATAATGTTTAACGTTTTATTTTGCAAACAATTTATTTTATACACGTTTTTAGATCTTGCGGTTACAAATTTGGGAGTTTGTTGTTGCAGAGTGGCTGGGTTGGTATAATGTTGAAAGTGTATTTTTATCCTTTTAATTTTTTATGCAGCTTGGAATGGATAACCAATTTTATTATAAGATCCCAGTTAGGGTGCGATTGCACTGAGCCGAATGAGTGCGAACGAGCGCGGGAGAAATATTTGTAGATGTTCTTCGGTGCTCGTCGGCGTTCGTCGGTGTTCATCGGTGTTTATCGGTCGTATAACGAATGTGGGGCCGGTTGATAGCAACGATAATAGATGAAACTATTTCCTGGCATCCTTTTCTCCTAATTCTTTAGTAGAACACCTATGACCCTAAAAAGACATAATTAAATATTAAAATTTAAAAAATCTGCAAATTAAAAATTTTTAATTTACATAATTTTCAAATATCCCAAATTCTAAACTTTCATATCTACCAATTCCTGACTCTAAATTTTGAAGTTTTTGCATTGCCAAAAATTCTAAATATTTGACTTTCTAAATTTCTCCCACTTTTGTTTACAGAAGTGTCGTTTCTAACATGTACAGTGACTTCCCCCACAATAATAACATCAGGAATGTTTAGATCTTTTTATCGTAGGCCCCTACAAGTTAGCGCCCTGAGCTGTTCCTTTGTTCAGATTGTATACATTTTTGTACTTTGCCGGCATTAAATAGCGCCTGCTCGTTCGGTTTTCAGTTCACAACATCTGAGCATTGCGAACGAACATATGATTTGCTCGTGCTTGATCATACCCGTTGAATTTGCTGTGGTCGCACCCTTACGTAGCGTAAAAAACAAAGATGTTACAATTGAATAAAATCAATGCATACCGCACTTAAATTCAACGGCCTTGTATTTATTTTTCCGCATGCGCGCTTAATTTCCTGTTCTATAAAGTTAATACGAATTTTATGAAGTGTATGCATTACTATCTGCTCGGAGGGACACGTGTACAATGGATGCAGTTGTGCATGCTTACGTATGGTACAGGTATGCAAACGTATGCGTAAGTGATCTGTAACTACTGTGATGTTTATAATTCAATTCTTTTAACGTTTACGCCAAGAATTAAGGTATGATTGTAATGCGGATTCATGATAATAACAGATTTTAAAATTTTGTTCAGTTATTTTTGAGTGAGAAATAGTTTAGTGCTACACGAAGAACATGGCAACATCAGAGAGTGATGACTTTGAAAGTGCTGACGAGGAGATGAACCATAATATGCCGACAAAAAGAATTATTCAAACTCAACATTGGAGTTCACCGACAACGATAGGTTCTGATTCCGATGACGACACGGAATATGTACCACGACCGACATATACAAACGTAGGCTTTAGTAAAAAAACAGAAAAATATTATGAGAGGACCGATACCATGGCAAATGTAGAAAGACTTGATAAAGATATCAGTATTAGAGATATGCGTAATAAGGCAAAAAAAGAGAAATTAATTAGTAATACTGATAAAACGTTAGAACGAGTTGATGGAAAGGTTACATCCACTAGTTTGTCAAAAGTAGAATCTACAGAGACAGCTCCAGGTACTATGAATGTGGAAGTTGAAAATAGAAAGAAAACTACGGATACAAGTGAAACAGAGTTACCAGTTAAGACAAATGACAATGTGGGAAGCTCCAGTGGAACGATTATGTCTAATTTAGATAGCGAACCAAAGGGTCATAGACAACAAAAATTAGGTGCAAAAAAAATAGGTTCTAAGATCACGGTGAGTGACAATATTAATGACATAAGTAATGAAATGTCTGCTGATAAAGAAAATGTATCTACGAAAGCACAAGATGCTACGCTTTCAGAATTTTTAGTAAAGGACGAGTTAACTGAACTAGATATGCCTGAAGAAATGAAATCAGATAAAAAATTTAAAGAAGTATTTAAACCGGAAGGTTGGGAAGGACTTGGCAATGAAATTGAATTACCTGAAGAATTAACCGAAGAAAAGTTACAACCAATAATGAAAAAATTGTCACTCAGTGGACAAGAAACAGAGAATTCTTCGAAAGGATGGGGTTGGGGTGGTTGGGATGTAACTTCTTTAATTAACACAGCTACTGCTGGAGTTTCTACATTAACTAGTCATGTAACACATGGACTCACACTTTTGGAAGAATCCATGGCCATACCGGATGAACCTACATCTCCTACAAGCGAGAAGGAAAATTCTGCAAATGATGGTAATATATTTTTACAATACTAACTGCTTACAATTATCTAATATTTAATAAGTAATAGGTAAAATGTGATTATATTTTTTCAATAAATGTTTATACATAGTACTTGTAACTAATATAAAATAAACATACTTAAAAAGTGTTTATTATCAGTTAAATAATTATGTTAATAATCAGATTATGTACTTACTTTAGTTAATTTAATTTTTAGATGTTAAAGAAGAAACTCCTGAAGAACAATCAATTTTTGGATTTGGAAATCTGATATCGGGTATGTCTTCAATAACAAAATTAGTTGAATCAACTGGCAGCAAAGTTATGAGTGGTGGGTTAGATACATTAGAAGCTATTGGTAAAAAAACAATGGAGGTATTGCAAGATGGTGACCCAGGATTGAAAAAGAAAAGAGCCTTCTTTATGAATGAAATAGATAAACCAAATTTATCACAAGTGCTTCGGGAAGCGAAAGAAAAGGCAGAAAGTGTTGAAAAAACAGTAGAAGAAAAACAAAAGCTAAGGAAAGTACATTTTGAAAGTCTATTTGATGATTACCAAGGTCTTGTTCATTTAGAAGCACTAGAAATGTTGTCGAAACAAAGTAATATTAAAATACAACAACACTTGATGGGCTTGAATACAAATGAGTTAAATTCCATGGAAGAAACATTAGAAGATGTTAAAGAATTATGTGATTTAGGTGAAGATGATGAAAATGAGGACGAAGAACATGATAAAGATTTAAAATGCAGGTTACAGGAAGCTTGTAATGACCTTGGAATTAATATTTCATATGAGAAATTACATGATGTAAGTAATTTTAATGCTAAAATATATATGTACACGTTAAATGTATCTTATAAAATTAAATATTGCAGGTCTCTGAAGCCTCTCAGGCATATACCACACCTCCTGTAACATATACTGCTGAAGAAATACACGAACATGCTATTTCTGTTCTGGCACAATTTACTGCCTTTTCTGTGGAAAGGTTTCACAAATCTGCAGAATTGCTATTAATCAAAGAACACAGAAGCACTGTCAACGAAGCTGATGCATTAGTTCGTTTAACACATATTCTGTCTAAACAAATTGGAGTACTAGCTAATACTTACTGTAGCTCTTTAAATGTCATTGCTGAAACTTCAGATAAAGCGGATGATATTAACTCTAATATAACGACAATATTTATGGAGGTAAGAAAATATATTGATCAGTTACATATATTTTGTAACATTAATTAATTTTTTTTCAAACAGGCTTCAAATGCGAGCTCTTATATCCAAGATGCTTTTAAACTATTGGTCCCCATTATACAAGTGGGTGCTATATAACGATTAACAGAAATATTTTTTTAATACTTTTAATACATAACTGTATACATACGCACGTATGTGTATACGCAATTATAATATATGTATATGTAATATTAAACACAAACAAACGAATAGTTTATTAAAAACGAATTGTCCCAATTAATTGGATATTTTTTCCTGCTGTATGATTTGCTACAGGGACCAAGATAAGTTTAAATAATTGTATTCAAAAATATGTAAAAATTTATACACATTTTAAGTTCATTCATAGTTATATATATAGATTTATAATGTAAAAGTATTCATATAAAAAATATAAATAACTGTCCGAACTATAGATTAACTAACGTTTTGTACTTGAATCATACGTTATTGCATAATAACATTAATTCATTATAAAAATATATTCAACACGAAGGATTTACTCGAACATGAATGTGTGAAGCTTTGAAAGTACATAGTAGATAAAGTACACAGTACATTCAGCTTAAAAAAAATAATTTGTAAAAACATATAAATATTATATCTTTTTAAACTGTATTAATTCTTGTTTTTTATCATCCCTTAAATTAACCCTCTCACTGTTTTTTGTTATTTCAACTATTGTTGGGCAAGTTCACCCACTCTAGAATAATCGATAGTGTACAGTAGTTTATACAATATAAGAAACGAGGAATTTATTCAAGTTAACAATTTTTTAAATATAAACTTTAAACAAATCAAACTAAGAAACAATTTTAAGTGAAAACAATTTGTAATATTTATGATATATTTATGGTATATTTGTATTGAAGTAAAAAATTGTATATAAAATATTTGATATAGAAAAAAGCAATTATAAACTATTTACAGTTGAACAGTATTAAAAAGATTAACAAGATTTTATTTTTTTTACCAATTTAAAATATTAATTGTATCTTTAAAAATGTTATAAATTAGTACATATTTATTATTTTTTCTTATGTTTTCACTGTTATATGAATAATAATATAGCGGTATTTTTCAAAAATAATTTATAGTCTACTATTTTTAAACATTATTATAGTATCATTGTGAACATGGAATGCAGTGAAATGAAATGAAATGGTGTGATAGACATATTAAATAAAGAATGTCGTTGTAAACAGGGTTTATAAAAACAGAGAAATAACATGCACTTTTGTAAAAAAGAAATGACAATCAACATTAGGTAACGTCATTCTGGGGCAAAAAATTAAATAGGGTATTGAACTACATACTGAACACAAATCAAAATAGTATGGTAATAATTATGAACATTATTTTTTTCAATGCTTTCCCCGTTTATTACCAATAGGAGGTTTTTGAAGTTGAAAACTTGAACCTGAATCACTCGTTGGTAAAGGTGCAGTAAGATTTGATGGGGTATTAAAAGTCAAACTTGCGGTTGGTGGTTTCAATGATGAGCCTAGGGTAATGTTAGTAGCAGATGGTGTTGATATTGTATTTCCCCAAACTGTAACAACACATATACTGAATTATTTTGAATCTGTGTTTAAATGTTAGATTGCTTTGCATGTACAGTAGCTAAAGCTGCGTAAACTTTTCAATGAATCAAAAAAAATCATTGAAATATAATATATTAGCAATACTAACGTCATTGTAGAGTTAAAGAATACTTTGTTGTAATGCAAATAATATCCAATAATATCCTTAATATATTAGCAAAATTCTTGAGCATGATACAGACTCCATGTATCCTGTTAAATATTATATACTTTAGTGAACGCGACATTCTCGCATGACCATCAAGATGACAGAAGCAATGAAAGCACATATAAAATACACAGCCATTCCTTAACAACACAGGTTTCAACTTTTGTTGATAATTTGCTATTTCCTAATACGCGTTAAATAAAAGGATAAATATTTATTATACTTTTATTGCGAAAAAAACAAGTATGTTTTTGTATATGTATAAATAATGAATGTTAGGTATACAAGCTTTGCATCCCTTCCCATAATTGACAACACAAAGAGAAACTGAAAAAAATTTAATACCTCATAAACTACAATAGATCCCTTACTCTTTTCCTGGAAAGGTAAATTAAAATCAAATTACAGAAATAAAAATACAAATCAAATATTTTTAAAAACTAAGTAGTTGCAACAGGTTAGCTATTTATACACGTGAAATTCTACAGCATTTAGTAAAGGGCATTATATGTTAGTAAATCTACCTCATACTAAATCCACGCAAGACCTGAAGGTAGGAGATGTTTATGGGATAGTTGAAACAACGAAAATACGTTGTTTTAGGGAATTTGTTTTTAAAAAAGAAATATATTAATATTATGAAATCACATGGCAATTTCATTTACCTAATGGATTTCGTGTTTCATAGCTTCCTGGTCTATTAGAGTTTAATGTTGTTGACGAGAGAAAACTTTTGTTTCCTGCAAAAATATTTTGCATAGTATATTAAATGGTATTATATAAAACTCACCATTACTAAGATACAAGCAATAATAATAAATCACCTGGTCCAAATGGAGTTGGTCCACTTGTAATTCTTCCTATGCTACTATGAAATGTTTTTCCATTCGTTTTGATATCTTCAAACACGTTTGTGTTGTCTTTTAAAACATACTTTCTGAAATTTAAGTACTGTTCCTTTTGTTGTAGCACTTTAGAATGTACACCTTGCAATTTTCCAGCAACTGCTACCAAAGACTCGTGAAGCTTACTCATAGCCATTGTTAATTCTAAAAAAAATCCCAGCATAAAATGAAATTTTTCTGAATATAAATAATAGTAAGAAAATTACCCTGTGGTGTTAGAGTTTTTGGAGTCATCATTGTTTGTATATGTTTTTCTGTTGTTTCAATTTGCGACCTAAATAACATTAAATCATGTTCAAAATTATCAGCTAATTCCATGAAAAATAATAATGGCGCATTATTTTCATATTGTAATCCTGGCGGGGTGTCATGTGTTCTTTGAGCTATTTCAGCACTTTGCAATGCTTTTGCTGTATCTTGTCTTAATTTATCAGCAGCACAACGATCTCGCTGAACTGCTCCAGCTAATGTGGTTAAAAGTTCCATTAATGATGCTGTGTCTTCGGCACATCTAGTTAGTGGTCGGGCAGAACCTCTAGCTATATCCGATGACAATACTTTTTGTTCCTTTACAAATTCCCTATATTAAAAATACGTATTAAATTAATTTTGTAATATTCTAATACAGTGACTTTTCCACTATATAATAATTACTTGAATTTCTCTATTGTCTGTATTAATTCTGGTGGCCAAACAGTGTCTTTAGCTGCTGTCTGGTTACTTTGTAAAAGTCCTTTATTGCTTGAGGATACATCTAATCCTCCTAATCCTTTATTAGTAGTAACAGTAGTACCAGCAACTGATTTCGCTCCCAACACACCACTGCTACTAATAGGTGCACCAAAAAGAGAAGCTAAGAAATATACCGTTACATACATATATATAAATAATTTCATTAGTAACAATATTCAGATTATAAATATTACATACTTGAGGTAGTAGGTGCAGCAAAAGTAAGATTTCCAGCTGTAGACGTAGCAGATGAAGTACCAAATGTTAAGGTAGTGCTTGCTGCTGGTGTCCCTAAATTAACACCACCAAATAGTGGTGCAGAAGTAGTTGGAGCTGGAAATAAACTAGTAGCAGTTGTTGTGGTAGATGTATTTGCTCCTAATAAACCAGTTGGTTGAGTTTGCGTTGTGGTCACAGGTGTTCCAAATCCAAATGTAGGCCCAGTAGTTGTTGCTGGTGTTGAAGTAGTTCCAAAACTTAATGTAGGTGCTGGGTTATTTGAACCAAAAGGTGTACTATTAAAACCTGTTGTAGGTCTACAACATTAAAATGAATATAATAATTAATAATTCAATATATTTCTGTCACAAATAATTCTGTTTAAATTTTTTTAAATTCATGTTTAAATTTTTTAAAGTATTATATACAACATAAAACTGTACACATTTACTTTTGACCAAATCCAAAACTAGTGCTGCTTGTAGTTGCAGGCGTTCCGAAAGTAAACGTCGACATATTTCTTATGTACAATTAATAATAATATAAGTAAACGTTATGTACACTTTATTTTTGTTATAAATACTAAATTTTAGCTGTCGACGATAAATCACTCAAAGTGGTTATTCAAACAGCGCCATCTTCAACGTAAACGGGTACTATTTGAATTTGAATAAATAGAATCAAAACATCAGCATTCAAACTTATATGTATAATGGCATTGAAACAATAATACATTTAAGGAAAAATAAGAAAACATTAAGGAAAAATATAAAAAGTAATATTTCGCAACTTTGACGACGTAGTATGCTCTTCTAGACATTTTAAAGCAATTTTTGTTGAATAAGTTATTCATTTTTTTGCCTATTAAGCCTAGAAAATCAATTTTTATTTCACCCCTTAACGCGTGTTCGGACATACGTTTTTTCAGTTTAGTTCGCAGTTTCGCCGCTAGATGGCGCCACAATTTTTCTCCATAAAATGACATATTTTTCATTTTCTTTATTAAAGCTTTCAGGAAACTTTTATTGCTTTATTTTGGTTCTAATGCGATCACATAGCACTTTTCGGGCCTCAGAAGTACTCAAAGTTCCCTAATTTTCGAGAAAATCGCATTTTTATGTTTTTGTAGTTCCAACTTTCACCGCTAGATGGACACCAATTTTTTAGTCCATGAAATGGGCTATTTTTCTATTTTCTTTAATAATGGTCCTAGCGGGCTATAATTAGATTCGTCCGATTCCGTGGGCGACAAGGAACAATTTGTATATCTCAGAATTTCGGAAAAGTGCCTAGTTTTCAAGAAAATAGAAATTTTAGTTTTTCGTAGTTCCGCCGCTAGATGGCGCCACCTGTACCGTTTTCGACCAAATTCGACAAAAATTGATTTCCTGGCTTTATTAGGCATCAAACCCTAATAGAAATTTGTTTCTAAATGCTTCAGGGACCATACTGCGTCGTCAAAGTGCCGAAATATTGCACTTTGCATGCGCAGTAGAATTGACATAGGCGGCTCATGTACGTATCGCAAGGCTGCAACAAAATAATTAATTACTCATTACCCGAACATTATTTATGAACTTTTATGATCGAACCATGTAAATAATGCATTGCTAGCCATTCTTTAATCATAAAAGTTCATAGACTGTGCCCAGAGAGTGAGTAATTAACGATTTTGCATACTCATTACCGAATAATTACCGAAAAACCATATCCATAGATTTTAATGCATTTAAAATTTTTTTTTTGTATGTCCATCTGGATGTACATGCGCATATGCGTGCAAAATTTGATGAGAATTGGTTGAGTGGTGCAAAAGAAAAACGCGGACAAAGAAATTACAAAGTCAAGTATAAGAGCTTTGCTCGCCTTCGGCTCGCTCGCTCAATAATTTCGAATCATCTTCATTTTAATGTACAAATGCAAAATGAAAGAAAAAATTTGATTGATGATGTTAAAAACGAACAGAGGCAACAAACAGCATTGACTTAAAACAATGAAAAAAGAACTTTAAAATTATTAATTTGAAACTGAATGAAGAATAATTTCTAGGTAATATTTCGATTTATTATTAAATATACCTACACTACTATATGATATAAATCAGAGGACAATACAATGTCTTTATTATTTCATAAAGTAGTAAATGGTTTCTTTGTGTGTACGCGCCAATATTCTAGTAATTATGTATTCCATCTATAGGAAATGGGATCAATTCAACAAAGTTTGCCAGATCAGTACACAGACTATCACAAAGTTGATTGCTGGTTCGGGTTCGTACATGGGCGTTTCTAAAATGATCACAGTCGCGTAGATTAAAAGAACATGTCTAAAAACACTTCTTTTATTACTAATAAACTTTGTTTCTAATACCATCAGAAATTACTTAAAGAGGATCAAGACTTTAACAATCTTAAATATACACTGTTTTCATAAATTTATTGTGATACATGTATTATATGTACAGCATTGTTTCTTTTTATATATATATATGTTTATATATTAAACTCATACAAAATATTTTATTCATTGTTTAAGCAATATATATATATAATAGAGTAAATAACTTTGAATTATGACCCTGTGTACTTCCATGGTTTACCACCTGTTATCAGGACATTCCTTAAGTAATGCGAATATTTCTGATACATACATTATAAATTGCTTTAATATATTTTAGATAATAGTGATTCTTAAATAATTTCTACTGTAGCTCTAGATAAAACTGTAATACAGTATTATATATATCGCTTAAACATAAGAGAAAATATTTTTCATAAATCTTATATACAAACATATGTATGCAATAAATAAAAATGTTTTACATGTAACATGTACATCACAATAAATATATAATGTATTTCTAAGATCATCACAGGGTTGACTCTCTTTAATGCTCTTCTTGTTATTGATTTAATGATTTTAAATATTGTTTGTATTAACATTTTTTTCTTTGAACATGCAAACAATTCAGTCTCGTTTAAGAGAAACGGAAAAAGTAATCGTGTTTAACGCTCATATGCAGTTTAGAATACACCCGGTACGTAATATCGTACAGAGTACGAGTTACTTAATCGTAAAATGACATCGCAATATTATATACTCTGTAATTACAAATACAATGAGATACCGTAGATTAAAAAAATTTGTTTGCATATTAAGAATATATCCCTAGGTACTTTGCGATGGCGTGCGATTTGTTTCTTTTTTCTATGCTAAACGAGCGTGTATAATATAATTGAATAAAATCAGCAAATTATTTGTTAACCTGAAATATTATGTTCAATTTTTGATGATATTTTATGAAAAATAAATTCAATAAATATCAGTACTCAAATCAGTGCCATTGCAAATAAAACAAATATTTATGCTTCGCACATCGCCGACATTTTTTTTTAATTTCAATACATTACTAATTTTTCTTTTATACGTAATTTTCTACCATTTATTATTTAGTTTGTTTAAACACTGTTTTAACAGAAATATATAAGCTAACAACTTACATGTACCACAAGCAATGTACAACTTAATCAGCTTCACCCATCCCTCAATGTAATAAATAATTCATTTTATGTACAAATTGAATTGTTTCTAAAATGTTCAAATCCACAAAGATAGTTTTCTAAAATATCAAACACACTTGTTTATTTGCCTTAGCATTGTGCATACTCAAATTCAATTGCTGCTTTCAGAGTAATAGTTATATTTCATACTTCCAGAATTGTTTTTTTTTCTTTTTTTAGCATTAACAATCAAAATCTAAACACTAAATATTTATGTTATATTCATTATTCTGACAGCAGCATCAGAGCCACATTTGTTATACTGTAGAATGGAAACATTATTTATAATATAATTTTTTAGTATCGATACAATATTTAAAATAGAGTATTTTTTTTTTTGTTGAGAAAAATTACTATAATATTATTGTGACAACAAAATGGGCATCTATAAAACCATTATCAATTATCTATCCATTTGTGGTTTCTTGTTATGCTTTGGTATGGCACTAAGGTTTATTTAAAAATCATTTATTTTGTTGTTATGCAGATGCAAGTTGTGTTATAAGACAAGCAGAAGTAATCAAATATTCTATAGTGTTAATATAATCTTTCTTATAATTGTTATATTTGAATTTATGTATGTGCAGCAATCAGACACACACTAAAATTCTAAACAATTAGATAACTGAATTAATGTTTCAAATTACCAGTTCACACATAGCAGTCGAATCTGTTGATTAAAACTAAAATAACAGTAATAATTAAATTTATTTGCTAATTTTAGACAATCATCTTGTTGTATTAAATGCTTTTGTCTGTAAATGAAGGCCATTGATTACTGAGTCTATGGTAATTGATATCTATAAAATTAAATTTTTTATTCTATCTAAAAGATTGGATAAATTTTAAGCACAACTGTAATTTCAAGTAACTGATACTGTTAATTATGTAAACACATGTTTGTTTCGCTTTAATTGTTCCACTTAAAGACTAATTACTAATAAAACTGACAAAACTGATTGATTACCTAAGACCAATAGAAAACTAACACTTAATTATTAGGCCATGTTTAAATGATAATTAGATCCGTTTATTCTAAATAGAAGTTCGAAAACTTTATATTGCTTTTACTTTATGTGGGAAATAATCCTCTTAGTGGAACATGTTGTTATATTATATAAAAAAATAGTAATTAAGTATATTAGAACCAATTTACCCGGAGGGTAAAAGTGCATATTAATATAAATATTAAAAAAAGAAGTAAATATAAGGAATGTTTTACTTGTAGTTTATACATATACATGTAATGGATCTAATTTTAAAAGAGCTAATGCCAATTAAGTCTCACAATGCTTATGTGTATAACTTGTTTCTTTCTCCTGCATTTGAATAAAACAAATGCATTTATTATAAGTAGTTACTTTGTACTATTATTGAAATAATACACACATTGCCTTTTCATTTATCAGGACATTTCTTAACTGACATTTTAATGACAAAATACGTCATCGGCTGATCACAGCATTAGATATTGTCACATCACCATATTTAATATACATATAAAATATTAGATAAATTTTCAATCAGATCCAACTGCCGTTAAAAGAATGTTTCAATGCCAATTTTATCAGTATACAGAATATGGCAGTTTAACATTAAAGCCAGAATACTAATGTTAAATTGGATGTTTGTTGGATTACATAATATACACTGCATAAATAAAGAGTGAAAACATTTTTTAAATTTCATACAAATAAATACAAAAGAAAATCGATATAAACTTGTATCTGCAAGTGCTTACTTTTTTAATTATGCTCTATAAAAAATATCAATAAATATTACATATACTTTTTAAATTAATACAACAATTAAAATAATACATTCATTTTTAATTTATACATAAAAAAATGAATAATTTTATACATAACTGTCTTTCATTCAATTTTGTCTGTAATTACGGATATAGTTTACATACTCGTGAAGAAAAAATTCGCAGATACCAGTAAAGTTGTTTAAGTACTAAAAAGATAATAACTGATATAAACTCGATTTTGAGTAATTCTAAAAATAGAATTTTGTTCAAAACTAGATTGGTTTGCAAAATTTAAACAATTCGAAGTAAAACAATAAACTTATATTTTTCGAGTTGTTTAAAATATTAGTTGAATAATCGAGTATTTTATATTTTAAGTACTTAAACAACCTTACATATAAGATTATACAAACTTTTTCATCATTTTGGCGCGTAAATTCAATACAAAGATTCTTGACTTATATTAACACTCTGTATAGTAGGTGTAAAGAAAGACCTGAAAGTAAGTTGATATACATTGCGTTCAATATATTTGAAAATACTAATTCGATTAGCATTTAATAATAACGAAGATATTTAATTTATTCTAATTTTTGTATAAACTCTTAACATTAAATGAAAAAAAACCAATATAATGATTTTAATAACAATTTTTAAATAGTTTTATAGTAGCAAAAACTATATAATTTAACATGCATTCATCATGATTGTATAATAATTTGATCATTTAAAAAAGGGGAATATAATTTTATGTTAAAATTTTAAAAAGCTTTTTAAATTAAAAAAATTATATCTTCGTTACTTGATTATTTTCTTCAGAAATAAAACATGTGTGTATATATATAAAAAAACCGTGCACAATCGTAAATATCTATTCCAATGTCATTGATTACAAAATATACACGACTTATAAAACTAACCCGTTAACTGCCACGCTTGCGTATGTATAAAATGCAAGATATGTATTATGAATGAACTAAACTTAAAATACATACAACAATTAGCGACCATGATGATGACAATAATTTACTACAGAAATATTCAATAACAATAAAGTTAAATGTACATTACACAGAATGGCAGTGAACGCGTCAATATACTGTAAAACTTTCAAGAGAGATTTTTGGTTCTGTAGCTACACGCTGCATCCATTTGTAGCACAAGCACTTCATCCAGTTACAAGATTAAAACAATAAAAGCTTACATAAAATAAGTTTTAAAACGTGGCCAATATTCAAAAATCCTCATTTAAGTAATTAAAAAATTAATGTTCTTTTCTTTTTTAAAACTACATTTACAGATTAGACAAATTTTAAACATTGCCAGTAACAACTGTTTTCATGCACAATATACTGTATGTACCTTTTTAAATGCGGGTTCTGAATATGGCTGTATGTGTTCGAAAACAGGATCGACTTGCAAGATGTGAAAACTGAAAATATTTCGACCCATAATTATACCATACACTAAGCAATTCCAAAAAGAGTGTATATGTTCCTTTTTTTATACATCATTATGGCTGTTACTTATTTCATTTTACATATTATTACTGTATAACTGTTACGCTTTGTTATTTTTTATGATGCTTATATGTTACATTGAGAAAATAATTTTTTTTGTTATATAACAAGCAATGTGTTTAATTTGTTCTTCCATAAATATTTAATTTCCCTTAAGTCTTCTTTATGGATCAATGGTTCCCGTAGAAATGCTTAATTTGCACGCAAGTTTCAAAGTATATTCATTTTCATTAGTTCTAACGAATAATTTCTATCTAATTAAAAAAAAATATTTCTAACCACTGATCTCAGAATCATTGTATATTAATCATTAATTATTGTATTATATCCAATAGTGAGCTTGTCATAATGCTAAAAATTTTCATATAATACGAATAGCTAGAAAGCACAAAATGTGTTACGGCTTCAGTACGATTTAAGTCTGTACAGAAGATCTTTCTAGCTTGCTTTGGTTTTAATAAATTTCTGAATATCACGAGTATATAATAAATCTCTTACTTGACAAACGATACGTTTAAACATTGTCCTATTTGTTGTGAATCACTTATTTTGTTCACGTGATTAAACGAGGGCTGTGTAAACCCTCAACTTCAGTGTCGATTTGAGGACAATGTTCAGTATCTGGCGGACCCCAGTCATGTAAATTTCCACTGTTAGCTAGTCTGTGCGTAAGTCGATGTGCTATTGAAAAACCTCCACTACCTTCCAATTGTGTTAAAACTATGATGACTTGTCTATAATAAATGTATTAAATTAAAAATTATAAATTTGAAGTTTCTGAAAATTAGTGAATACAAGTGTTTTACCTGTGAAGCGGGGGAACACTATCGGCAGTTCTGAGTTGTCCTCTAGTGGACACGACATTATAGCTTTCATGGCAGTCACATTTTACATGAATCCATTTATTTACATGACGATTTTCTACCATTACTACAAGTCCAGCCCAGCCTTTAGTTAAGTAATAAGCAGTCATTCCTTCCCTTCCCTAACAGAATAAATAAACGTTTTGTAAATATTTGGCTACTACAAAATACAAGTATATTTGCGATTAAATATAATAATTACACAAGCATTCTTACTTCATGCCGCTGTCCCTTTGCTAGAGTTAGACTTATAATAGCATCAGCCAAGACAAACGCTGGTGGAGAAATTTGTTCAACTAAAAGTCTTTTTGAGCTATGAATGGCAAGAACATATTCAGGATAACTGGAAGTATCTTCCATTCCTGTATGCCAATGATTAAAGGCTAAACATACAACAATATACAAATTCCTTTCTAGCATTTTGTGACATCCAACAAATCCACGTACTTGTCGTTTACTATGTTCTACTAGCCTTCCCACTTCTGGCGCTGCTGGCGAACGTGTACGAAAAACAACTACACACAAATCCAACTGAGATCGTTGTGATTTTTCAGAATTCCTAAATATGAATATCATGATATAATCCTTGTATCCGATAGTAATATTAAGTTAATTATATTGGGTAATTAAATAAAGTGGTGTAGTAAAGCGTACCTTTGCCCTTCTTGAAATAATGTAAATTCTGTTTCAGTAGGTTCCAATACTGTCAGAAGTACACACGATAAATGTCGAAGAGAAGATAGAGGTGGAAGTGTTCCACGTAATCTAACTTCACTCCATCCCACTCTAGTTTTACAAATATCAATACAGTCAAAATATTTTAACACATCGTCGAAGGAAATCCAAAAAACACCGTCAGATGCACCATGTGGCATAAGCATTTCTCGTAACTGTGGTGTCCATATAGGACTATCATCAGACCAATCACCCTTCCAACTATAATGACCCCAAGGATTACGCAGTCTCAATAGTCTTATTCCCTACAAAGTATATTGCTTAAAATACTAGTCTATAAAATTCATTATATTATGATTATAATTAGATGAAAATGTAAGTGTAAATTTATATCTTATTCTTACCTGCACGTCTCGCACATCAAGAACGGAGTAAGCATGCCTACAAAATAAAAAGACTAAATTATATATCATTACGGATTGAAGAAATTTATTTCAATTTTTGAAATTTAGAGAGTATACCTTGGTCTTAAACCTTTACGTTGATATTCCTCTTCATCAACCTTCATATTGCCACCTCCACAACTAGCACCCATTAAAAACATAGCTTGCCTTGAAGACAAAAGTTGCGCCCATATTAAATCCCTGTCAAGTTCATCTTCACTTGGCAAAGCAGATGGTTGCAAAGGCACACTCTCACAAGGAGCACCTGTAAGTGTTGCTAAACCTTCTATAGCACGTCCAGATACTAAAGCTTCATAGCAACCATGAATTTTAGCTACTGCTTTTTCAATTAATGGAACCCAAAGTTGTTTTCTTTTGGCCTATAATATACATATAATTATATATACAAAAATAATAAACTTTTTTATCTATACTGAAATTTTAGTATTATAGTTGATATATTAACCTGAGAATATACTAGATGGCCTCTTTTATCACAGGGTAACAAGTCATCAACAAGTACTGTGGTCCATTTTCCATCTTTACACAATCTTACTTGATAAGCTCCTTCTGGGCATGTTTCTCTCATTACTAAAACTCTCTTTACAAGTTCATCACTTTCAGCTAAAACAGCTAAAGCTGAAAGTAGCCAACAATTTCCTAATACACCTTGTGAGATATCAGAAGGTAAGGGTGTTCTAAAAACAGCCCAAGGCAGTTTGGAATCGACAGTAGAGTCAACGTTAATTTGATGAGGCCTTCTCCATTGAACAACATGGTTGTCTTTCGTTTCTGCTGGATTATAATACAGAGATTTTGGAGCTGGTGGAAATGAGTCATCAACGAAAGGTTCATTCGTCTATAAAGTAAATACATAATGTACAAATGTATTTTATTACCCCAATATATTTGAAAAATATAATTATGAAAAAAATAATTTATTTTCACTATAAAAATTACTTTATAATTGTTGACAAAGCAATATACCTCTTTGCAGTACTGAACAATTCGTTCCCATTTCTCCAATGCTTCTCTTTCTTCAAGTTGTCTTAAATTTTCCATAACTACACTTTCCTGTCGTTGTATTGTGAGTGTGCTTGTGCCAGATTCAATAATTCTAGGCCTTTCACCTATCAGCTGAGATACATTTTTTGAGATTTGGCACATTTCACAGATTCCATTTGTAGTCTTATTTTCATATGTACACATTTTACACTGCCACTAAAAAAATTGAAATATATTATACATGTTTAACATATGGAAACATTGAAAAAAAAAAGATATTTAAACACTTATTTCTAAACAATTATTAATCATAAAAGCGCTAATTATGAAAGAATCGTACTTGACCATGAGTGGAATCTTTAATTCTTGAATGTCTTTTATCTCCAATCGAAGAACCATTTCTTCTTACAGAATTTTTGTGTCTTGGGGTAACAACTTTTGAATTTATAGGGGTTGAACAAAGCCTTGGACTTGGACTTCTTGATCCAAAAAATCTGCTATCTTTTGGTACATCTAGAAAATCTGCTAATGTTTTACAAGCATTACAAGTTTGTGCTGATAGCGGATTTCTTAAGGTACACGACGGGCACACCCAACTTTCACCTTTCCGTAAAGTTGCATCTTCCAAATGCATAATACTTTTAAGTTTTGAACCACCACATGCTTCACACGTTGATCTTGAAGCAGCATTTAAGAGTGTACATTTTTTACAAGTCCAATTTGGAGAAGGAGGATCAATCTGGTCATCTAAATCAGATTCTGCTGTAGCCAATGTAGCAGTTTTTTGTGGAATGTATCTTACACTATCTCTAGATACAACAATTGGAGACTGTGTATGCAACGAACAACTTGTTTCATCTTTTGTGACAGTTATTAAACTAGGTTGAGTTAGCGAAGGAGGTGATCGAGAAGATTCACATATATCGCAACCAGCTGTCCATGCAGGATTATATGCATAAGAACATTTTCGACATGTCCACATGCGTTTTAGAGAGCTTATATTAGGTACATCTCCAACAGGACTAGCAGCCTCGCTATGTGCTTTTGTTGGTACAAGACCTAGTTTACTATTTTGTTTTTTTGGCAATGGTGGTGGTATATTAGGATCAGTAATTCCAATGTAAGAGTACTTTGGTCTTGTATTAAAACCAACCGAATGTGGTGGTACGGCTGGTGGCTCATCTTCGTTCAGACTCCTACGATTGACGATTTTTTTCTCAGCTACATTTGCAACAGATTCAATGTCGGAAAAAGATCGTCTATAAGATAGTGCACTTGCAAAAAGCGCTAATTATGAAAGAATCGTACTTGACCATGAGTGGAATCTTTAATTCTTGAATGTCTTTTATCTCCAATCGAAGAACCATTTCTTCTTACAGAATTTTTGTGTCTTGGGGTAACAACTTTTGAATTTATAGGGGTTGAACAAAGCCTTGGACTTGGACTTCTTGATCCAAAAAATCTGCTATCTTTTGGTACATCTAGAAAATCTGCTAATGTTTTACAAGCATTACAAGTTTGTGCTGATAGCGGATTTCTTAAGGTACACGACGGGCACACCCAACTTTCACCTTTCCGTAAAGTTGCATCTTCCAAATGCATAATACTTTTAAGTTTTGAACCACCACATGCTTCACACGTTGATCTTGAAGCAGCATTTAAGAGTGTACATTTTTTACAAGTCCAATTTGGAGAAGGAGGATCAATCTGGTCATCTAAATCAGATTCTGCTGTAGCCAATGTAGCAGTTTTTTGTGGAATGTATCTTACACTATCTCTAGATACAACAATTGGAGACTGTGTATGCAACGAACAACTTGTTTCATCTTTTGTGACAGTTATTAAACTAGGTTGAGTTAGCGAAGGAGGTGATCGAGAAGATTCACATATATCGCAACCAGCTGTCCATGCAGGATTATATGCATAAGAACATTTTCGACATGTCCACATGCGTTTTAGAGAGCTTATATTAGGTACATCTCCAACAGGACTAGCAGCCTCGCTATGTGCTTTTGTTGGTACAAGACCTAGTTTACTATTTTGTTTTTTTGGCAATGGTGGTGGTATATTAGGATCAGTAATTCCAATGTAAGAGTACTTTGGTCTTGTATTAAAACCAACCGAATGTGGTGGTACGGCTGGTGGCTCATCTTCGTTCAGACTCCTACGATTGACGATTTTTTTCTCAGCTACATTTGCAACAGATTCAATGTCGGAAAAAGATCGTCTATAAGATAGTGCACTTGCAGAAGATAAAGCACGGGGTTCCCAAGCAGGTACACTGATAACTACTCCACTGCAAGGCGCTGGACTTCTAGGTGCTTCACATGCCTCGCATTGTTCTAGGCCAGGAGCATTGTCAAGAGTACAATTGTCACAACTCCAAAGAGCATCATCTTGTTGTGAATCTGAGACTACTAAACTTGTTGGTCTTTGAGTAGAATGTTCAGATAATTTATGTACAACAGAGCCATTAGATAAAGAGCGACTAACTTTAGATTTAACTCGTTCATAAATTGAAGGACTATGTCTTTTTGGTGAACGCTGAGAGGTATTGGTGGCATTTGTATAGGAAAGCGTAGTAGAATCCATGGTTTCTATCGGTGGTAAAGTCCAATCTTCCCTATCAATTTGTCTCCTTTCATTACGACTTATACTCGTTAATTGTGCCATATCTGTAAAATGCAAATGAAATATTAAATAATACTAATAAATAGTATATAACAATACTTTGATTTGTATTTGTATTTAGGTAATATGCACCTTTATTAATATCCCTTGCATTATTTATAGAAGTACTTGTTGCATTAAAACCATCAAAAATATTTGCTAAAAGTTCAGATGTAGTTTTGAGACGATTTGTTTTACGCAAATTTAATTTTCTACTTTTACGTGCACCAATCTGTTTTTTGTCAGTTTTAGATATTGAATAATTAGCATCACAAACTACACAAGTTACAGCAGAACTGCAACTGTTCTCTGATAAACAACGAACACAAGTCCATTGTGTTACTACTGTAGGTAGAGAAGAAGATCGTTTAATTGGCTCTTTTTTATAAGACCTTCCATTCCATAAATCATGATGTAATTTTTTTATATGATTATTAGGTACAATTAAATTTCCTTCTGAGCTAGAAATTAAACAAAATAATTTAAAAGTTAATAACAAACCAATAATGCATAGGTTTGTAATAGAAGTAATATTTACATACAATATTAGTGAGGAGGAAAGAGTTTAAGAATATAAAGTTTATTTCTTATAATGAGGTTATAACTAATATACAAAGTTTGTTTAAATACATGAATGAAATACCTATGATATAAACATATATGGTGAGTTTAATATACAATTAGAGACAAAGTTAAGTGGACACATAAGTATCGAGTAAAACTTCAGTCAATTTTCCTAAGTGACTTCTTAGTTTTTTACTTTCAATCGTAACTGACATTCTTATCAATATATTTTATTAGTAGTTATAAAGAATAATCTAATTTCAAATCACAAGTGACTACTTCTTGAAAACAAAATTCTGCAATAAAATTTTTTTCTGATTTTTCATTCTTTATATCAAATGAAAAACTTATATAAACACATTGATATCAACATGATTAAAATACTAATTGAGATTCAAAATATTCATTACAGAAGTATATACAAAATAGCATCTATGATTTGAGCTTAGATTGCAAACAATATTCTTTTAATTTTGTCCATACACTTGATACAAGAATCAGAATATTGTCCTCATTTGAGCATAGGTTGATTATATTGCAGTCTCATTATATAGAGCACTGTATCACTGTCATATCAATTAATTACATTAACATCAAATCTAATGTCAAGTATTAGTAATGTGGAGATGGACCGATGCCTATAAAGTTTCATTAAATTACACCAGTATTCGCAGAGTTAATACATAAACAATAATAATAAATAAACAAACAAATAATTGCGCAAAAATATTAAATTATATATTATTTTCTTATTAAAGTTAAGTATCCATTTAATTTTGTCCCCGAATAATTTAAAGTGCGCCAACAACAAAATAAAATTTGTATTCGTAGATGCAATAACACTTATCATATCTACGTTTACAAAAACATGCAAATGAACTTAAACATCCATTATGTTTATTTTCAAATCCATTGGTTTATTCTGTTGAGTACTGTTCATGTTATCAATGAAATATTTTCAATGAAAGATGAGTGCAAATTTATACCAAAAAATACCTTGTTCACAAACGAGTATATTATACAAAAATAATTGTACTGACAAAACATAGGAATAAGTTTTATGGGTACATATTTAAAATTGTGAGTTCGATAGACTGTGTACAAACACACGCGAAATCGAAGAAAGGGGGAGGGGTAAACAGAGAGGGGAGGAGAGCTACGGAGGGAGATGAGCTAACAATTTTCTCACCGATGTACGAGATCGGTTTTGACGTATTCGTTAACTGCCGGACGCGTCTCGTCCGCTGCTGGTTTTTCCAGACGGACTTTCAGCGAAGGTGTTGGCGGAGCGGACACTGAGGAAGTATTACCTTCCTCGTTGTCCTTTTTCTTTTTTTCCCCCTTTTGCCCTGGAACTTTGTGTTCCAAGCTCAGGCTGAGCCTGAAATTCGCTTTCTCATCACTCTTAAGCCGAGTAAGGCCACACCTAGTGCATCGCGTTTTCTCCGTTGGATTTATCAGAGCGCACTCCGAGCAATGCCACTGCAGCACCGATGCGATCGAGCCCATTCTTTACACGTAGTCATGGCTCTTTTGCTAACAGGATCACTGACTTTTGTAGCCACGATCCCTTTACTCGAAAAAACACCACACCACACCACCACACGTGGACGTCAAATCAACGATATCGTAAAACACGTTCCGCGAAAATACCTTTCGACAGCGGCGG